ATAAGCATATTTGTAATCTTTCTTTTAATTTCTACTTTTCTGTTAGATATTTTTATTTTGGGGTCTTTATAAATTCAAGTGTGATTAAAAAAAGAAAAAAGCAACATTTCAGAGTTAGCCTATTGCTGAGGGCATCCCACGTGGTCCTTGAGGGCCCCCAGGTGCCCGCTGGCACTGCACTGGTGACCCCTCCTTTTAATGTCTGGTGCAGTTGGAAATAAGCCTGTTGCCTGTAGTATTACATGCCCTCATATTTATAGAAATTGCTTTATGTTCTCAAATATTTAATTTACTTACAGTAGTCACATTAATCTTGTAAAACTGTTTTATTTGTTTTTTGTTATTGAAACTATTAGAACTACATTATACTAATAGATTATAGTCTGCAAAGGCTGCTGGATATACAGTAAAGCTTTCTTGAGTGGCGTGTCTTTCAGCTCGGTTAGGTGTGAGGAAACATCTAGAAGAGCTAAATATTCTCATCAATCCAGATCCGTGTCCCAAATTAGGATTAGTGGATTAGTTAGATAACCTGAGGTTTAACTCAGGGTTTCATGGAACAGAAACTGTTCTTAAGCCATTTTGTCATCATGCCATGTTGTGCAACAAATCCAGTTTTGATAATAGATTAAATAAGGATTTGTTGATAGATTTTTTTTCTTATTGAATTTGTTAGGGGAAAAAAACTGTAAGATTTAATGCTTTAGTTTAATGAAAACCTTTGGAATTGACAACTAAGATTAAATCCTTTTTATTGGTTTAAAGACTACACAAAATATAGTGATCTAACAAAATATAGTGATGTAATTTTATTGTATAGCCCATTTTTCACTTATAACACAAGAATTTAGAAGGCCACCCTTTTAAGGATTCTAATAGAGATACATGGGGATAATTTAGATCTTTAAACATCTTAGCAATTTAACACAAATTTAGCATTATTTAGCATCTCTACAAAAGAACTGAAAGTTTTAAACTAAGGAGCATGACCATGAGTTCTGATAATAGTGCAATAATATTTTACAAGTACTTTTTATTAGAGGCCTTTTTATTTTTCAGTCAAAATTTACTGAATAAAAATATTAAACTTTTTTTCTGTGTGTTTTTAAAATCTTGAGCTTGGTTCTCCTTATTGACATTAACTCTTTCTTCCCAGCGTCTCTTGAGGGCTCTGAGCAGCTGCCGATGGGCCGCATGGTGAAGAAGATCCTGGAGAAGGAAGGCTTCTTTGGACTTTACCGTGGAATCCTCCCCAATTTCATGAAGGTGATCCCAGCTGTCAGCATCAGCTACGTGGTGTATGAGAACATGCGTTCTGGCCTGGGTCTCCAAAAGTAAGCTGCAGAATACTCTATCTGCAGCAGTTCCATTACTTTTTAAATTGAAACACCCTTTCCTCTCTTTATCTTTTTTTATTTTGTTTTTTCTGTACCTCGAGGCCACTATGAGCTGGATGTATGCAGATGAAACTACTGTTAGAGGCTTTAAAGTGACAGCAGGACTTTGCTAGCCACTTTGAAATCCTGCAGGATTACTAAGAGTTTCCAATAGCATGGTGTTTACAATCTACCTACAGCTTTTCGTGCTGACACACCCGGTTATATGGCTTTAAATCACTCAAACAACTGTTGATTTGAATGGAAAGCCCGCTGTTTTCCCTTCAACCCTTGGCATGTAACAGACCTGCATTAATAGTTTCCTTACGTTTAATCAAATAGCACTTTTATGGACCAGTTTCAACCCTTATCAGAAGTCCGAGCCATCGCCTGCTGTGAAAAACAGAAAAGTCACAATGCAAACACCCAGTTAGGCGAGACGTCACTCAGAAATCTGAGAAAAATTAAAAGTGCAATACCTTATCCTTTTAGGAATACATTTCATGGTGTTTACTAAAGAGTTAATATGTGGATATATTTGCACATTTAAAAAAAAAAGTGCCTTATGTTTTTCTTTTCTCAGATATCTGTTGATTCTGAATCTTCTGTATTTTCTTTTGCCTTTTATTTCCAATATTTGGCTCATGGATGTTTACAATAAACCTCTGATTATAAATAAAATGGCTTGTGGTTATGTTTTATTTTGAAAATAAATCCTAAAATAAAATACATTGCAAACTTGTAGGGACGAGACCAGCACTAGTTGAATCCTAAATGGACGACTGAAATAAAAAAAGGGCTTTTTTTTTAAAAACTAAATTTAAATAAACAAAAGGTTTGGTGCACATTAGTTAGTCGTCTTTACTCTGATATCCATTCCAGTAGATGAATACCATCTGAGTGAATGAATCGTAATGTGAAAGCCCTAAAGTCATTTAAAGAATGTTTCTGAATAGATAGCATAATAAAGACCAAAGGACACAAGAGAGAGGAGAGGGCTAGAATTGAAGCAGGCCTGGATTATGAAACAATGCACAGAGCATCCTTTAAATATGCATCCAGAAATATGACACAACTTCATGCTGTAGAAATGTTTTTTCAGCAGGTACAGGTATGGTGATCATGGCCTATAACACAGTATGTATAGAAAAACCAGGACAAAGCTGGAAGAAACCATTGATCATCTTCATTTCACTTTATGATACTGAATTATCCTAGGGGTGATCCATAACTTATGGTTGTAATAAATTACTCTGAAGTTTATGGTTGCAACTTGATAAGTGAAAATGTACAATCTTTGCAGGAAACTTTATACCATCCTTACTATTTGTCATTCAAGGATCCCCACAGATCTTTTAGTCAGTGAAAACCCTTGTATTCTTGTTTAAAGACTTGTGTGCCTGGTGATGGTGCCTGTTTGCACCCCGAGGCTCCAAGAATAGATGAATACACTGCGGATGTCATGTAATTATTGGTGCTCCTTGTGATGAAAACACTGCTGACTTCAGATTCACACTGTATCAGGAGGACGATCACAATTCAAGTGTCAGCAACCTGGGACACTGGAGTATGGAGGACCAATTCTGTCATATCTAAAATAAATACCGAAAAAAATAAATGCTCAATAAATAATCATACAATTAATTGCCCCCAAAAACACAAACAAATAAATGTAGGTAAAAATTAAATTATACAACAACATAATTGTATCAATCTCTTTTAATTAGCTTCTTTATTTATTCGCCTTTGTAATAATTACCTTATTTATTTATTGTCAGTTATAATCTTCAACTTTATTCCTTATTTAAGTATTTATGTGCATGATATATTGTGTTTTATTCTTCCTTTGTATTTTTTTACCCTCTTTATTTCTCCAATGCTATTTATTTCTGCCTGTAATTTTTACATTTCTTTCTGCATTTCTGCCTCATTATGCAAATGAGGAAGGGCTGTGTCTTAGAGCAGCGGTCCCCAAACACCGGGCCGCGGACCGGTACCGGTCCGTTGGTCATTTGGTACTAGGCCGCACAGAAAAAAAATATATATATATAATTTATCGACGATCAGACTCTGAGTGGTGTTTTATTTTGAAAATACAAAACATTAGGTTATTATCTCACAATTACATCATTCGGTGCATCTGTGCCTCTAGACACAGGTTAATTCAGGTCAAGATGCATCCTATCTATAACATCCTATCTTTGTGAAGCTGGATTTTCTGCGGTTACAGCGACCAAAACAAAGCTACGGAGCAGACTGGACATCACGAGCACACTTCATGTGTCATTGTCTCCGATTACGCTTAGATGGGACCGGTTTGTTTCGGAGAAACAAGGTCATGGCTCCCACTAATTCAAGATAACGGTGAGTTTTATTTTTATGCTGTTTGTATTTGATTTTATACCAGTCGTATGATTTTATTTGATCGTATTTACCCCCACGTTTTAAAGGGCGGTCCGTGAAAATATTATCTGACATATAACCGGTCCGTGGCGCAAAAAATGTTGGGTACCGCTGTCTAAGAGGGTCAAATATGGCAGAGTTGGTCCTCCATACTGGTGTTAGTATCAGCATCACTAACTGAAAAATAACTGGAACTCTATTTAGGTTTATATTAAAATGGCAACAGGAAACAGTTTCTTTAATGTTTAAGTGTGTTTCAGTCTGTCTCTGCTTCTTTAACAACCCTGATCGTAATAAAACTTTTCAAAAACGTTACATTTTGCGGAAACTTGTAGAAATAAACCCTCAAAAATAAATGCATCTGTGTTAGTGATATCAGAAAACAAGCAAAAACATTAATCCTCCAAAAGACTACTTTGGCTCTGTGCTCGTTTAATCCATTTTACAATTCACAAAGTTTTACAGAATGGAACATTTCAACTTTTGCTTTTACAGAATCTTCTCTCTTCTCTGTGCTTCTCAAAAGATTTTCTTGTGCTGCCAAGTTTAAGGGGCGTTATGTTTCTCTTTTGATGCATCAGATTTGTAACTTGTAAAAATCTAGATATGTTTTGATATCAGGGTCGGCTCTATTCCCATCAGGTTCATCTTTAAAAATCAAAAAAGAAAACTGTGTTGTTCAAATGTGAACGCCACTCGTATGTGAAATACTAACAAAATGTGCATTGTTTCAAGGAAAATAAGACTGAAAAGAAAAAATATATATTTTTAAATCAATTAAACTGCTAAGATTCATGAAAGAAAACTGTAAAAAAAAATCTTACTGACATGGGAACAAGTGATTTTTTTTCCCTTGCTCCTGATTCTATTCTGTTAATTTGTGTAAAAAAAATACTTGTTTTTGTTGCTTTTTAAGTTTGTTTTCAGAGATAAAAAGTCTAAATTACCCTTTGGATTGTCTCAGATCTCTGTACTTATAAAGATATACGCAAATGTTTTTTCTTTAAGGTCTAGATAGATTTAAATCACACAAATATCAGTGTTGATTTGTTTTTATTCAATGCCAAGACCCATTATGGTGAATTCAGTTTGAAACTTCAGTGCCATCTAGTGGCAGAAGATAAAACTGATTACATTTGTTCAAATGCGTGAGGGCTTTCTTCAAACAGAACTCCTGAAATATTTATTCAACCTGGATTAACCTGCATTACAACAAAAGTAGTATTTTTCATCTGCAGAAATAAACAGAGGAATAAAATCCAAAACATAACCATACACAATTCAGCATACAGTTTAGTTTATGCTTAATAAACAATAATCCTCAGAATAAACTCCTCTCAGGAAAGAGACCATTCATTAAGAGAGTGCCAAGCAGAGAAAAAAATGCCACGACAGTCAGGACGGTGCGCAAAGCCTTGAACCAGCTGGGATAGGTAGGGAGCAGAGACAAGTCATAGTGCAGAGAAACTCCAAGTCCCATGATGACCATAGTTGCTGCAGGAACAATGTTGTCAGTCATCAGCATGGCCACCCAGGCTAACAGCGAGGGAACCACACTGTTGGCCAGGTTTATCCAGTCAGGTTTGGCTGGGCTGCTTTCGGGTAGGGCAAACCCCCACCGCGCTCCGCCCAGGAAGGAGAGGATGGAAGCGCCGTAGGCTACCTGCCCGTAGGCCAGCTCTGGGTAATAGGTCTCAGTTACAGCCATGAGCAGAGTTGGAGAGATGAAGGGGATCAGCCCAGCGAAGCCCAGATAAAGAGCTGGTTTAGGACCTTTCCACAGGTGCTTCATGTCATACCGCACCAGGTCTAGCTCTCTTGGAGGAGGTTCAGGCTGTGCTCGTTTCTTCAGCCTCACAGAGGAGGAGTGGAAATATTGATTTCTCATTGAAGAGAACATAAAGTTACTATGATGCTTTTGGCAGAGTCCATTAAAAGAAGGTTTTACTTGTCCAGAATCATTCAGTAAGGAGCTGGACGAGACTGAGGCTCCCTCCAGGGCTGATGTCCAACATCTTTGAGAACCACGTGCCCAAAGGAAAACCTAAAAAAAAAAAAAAAAAAAAAAAACAGATTTAGTTCTTAAAACAATTCATCAATGAAGATTTGAGCAAATCAGATATGGGAATGTATTTCTTACCCCCTGTGACGCAATGGCGCTACTTCTTAAAGCAACAGACAGCATCTGAGGAAAAATGTTTGAAGGAGGAATATTATTGAAAAGCAAAGAGAACCCTCTTCAATCTGAGTCTTTTGCTTCAATAAAACCTCCTTTTTTAGTACATTAATAACAGCAACATTTATATAAAAAAAAAAAAAAAAAAAAAGCACTTCCATTGTTTGCAAAGAAAACATCGTAACTATGTTTTTAGGATGTGCTTAAACAACATCTGTCGGTGGTAGGAGGTGAATGAAATCTGGAGGAAAAATCAATACATCTCTATCTGCTACATATACATAAGATCTAACTTAGACACACATTCTCACCTCAGTTATTTGTAGTGACGACCATCTGTTGACTTTGTTGATTTTCAGTCATTTTCATCCCTTTCTGTGCCTAAATTACATTATCGGTAAACCTACCCTTTACAAGTGCATATCTAACTCCAGCCAATTCACACTGTAGTCTTTAAACTAATTGTTGGTAAAACAGTAGTAAAGACCAGCAAAATGTCCTCACTTTGATGCCAAAACAGGAGAACAGCTCTACACAATCCAGGCTTCCAACGATTCATTTACAACAGATTCACACACCACATCTAAAATAGCCCAGGCTACAGATTATAGATTAGGTAATAGATCTAAGATCGAGTTGTAAAAAATATCCGCCATTGTTGCGTTGAAGTAAAAGGTGTGTGTGTGAATGACTGATTGAGTAAATTATTAAGGGAAGGACATCGAAGAAGAGCCAATCACTGTCTCCTTAGTACAATAAGCCCTGTAGCTACACAAGCATATATCTTTTTCATATTTTCCTTAAGATTTTGACCAAAAAACTCTTTATAAAGCACAGTATTATAGCTTGAGGAACACTTAAACCTAAATATAGCTTAGAGAGGATTCAATAACTTAAGTAGACATTGGAAAAGCTTTCACAAGTCAGGCACTTATATATTTACTTTATTATGAAAAAAAAAAACACTTCAGCCATGAATGAGCTCTACTTACACACTGCAAAAAATATATATCTAAATAAGTAATTTTTTCTTAAATTAAGTGCATTTTTTCTTGAATTGAGGATGTAAATGATGCACTTTGCCAATGGAACAAGACAATTTACATGTGAAATAAGAAAAAAAACTATTGCTTAGTCTTATTTCAAGTGCATATTTTCTAATTATCTTATTTTAAGTGTAAAAATACTCATTCCATTGGCAAAATGGAATGAGTCTTATTTACCTGCTCAAATTAAGGTTCAATATACTTGAGTTAAGAAATTTTTACTTAATTTCAGATCGTTTTTGCAGTGCAGCTAATAAGAACCAATATCCTTTATGCACAAATAATTACAACAGATAACATTTAATTTCAGAGGGGTTACATCATAGCTAAAATGGTGATGGTGAAAACCCTCAGGCAGTTATTATAACACTCCACTTGAATAGTGAGGAGATAATTCAGCCATTTGATCCAGATGTGTCAAAACAGATATGAAAGCAGGATACCAGACCTACAGGACTGGAACTGAAGACGATCAAACACTCATTGAGAACAGCTTTCTAATGGAAGAGTGTTTCAGGGCTGCTACTAGGGGTGTAAATCACACCCATCATGGAGATTCAATTCAGTATCCATTTCCTGACCCAACGATTTAATTATTTTCAATACTCAGGAATACATCATCTTCTATTTCCTCTGACATGTCTGTCTTGCCTACTGTTTACTGAAGTGTGTGCAAGCGGAAAGAGGGTAGTGGCTAAAAGGAAGCGAGGTAGGAGGGCAAAATAGGTTTAGCCTCACTGCAGCACGGTAGTCAGAATGACGTCCAGGAGGAAATGGATAAAAATAAATGAATTGATACTCTTGTGGATGCGTCGCTGCATCGGATCGTGGGCTGTTGGATCGATGCATCCATACAAAACAACTATTATTTACACCCCTAGCTGCTCCACCCATCGTCTTTTCCTGACAATCGCCTGCCTTTTACTGATTTTCTTGGGATCCACTACCTTTGCAGACTGCTGGTCCCCCCAAAAACATTAGCAACACACTAAACAGTCATTCCTTGATCATTACACAGATTATCTGTATTTGGCTCAGATTTCAGAGATGTTGAAAATGTGTATTCCACATTAAAATGATAGACATATTCATAACCTTCCCTGATCCCTCCTCCCTCAAGGAGTGATTTTACAGCAGGAAAAATTAGGCTCAACATCACAAAGGACTTTAGAAGCATTTTTTTTTTTCATTTTGATCCAGGATTGTCTAATTGCATTTGTATTTATTGCATTTATAAATAATGTGGATAATAAGCTGCCCCCAGCCAGACATGAGCCTTTTTTTCAAACAAATTAGGTAAGAATCAAATGTGTGCGGTCATCTTTTAAGTCACTAGAACAGGTCAATTGTAGATTATACAATAATGATTAAAAATAACTATTTTTTTAATCCAGATACTAAATCGACTGATAGTTTTCTTTTGGGACGATTCTTGAGCTCAATATTTCTTTCTCTTCCTACATTTATATGATAAAAATGACAAAATAAAAGTAAACCAAGGTTCAAATCAACAAATAAACACGTATTAACAAAGCTAACATTAACAATGGATAGCAGATGGCTCCGCTTTAGTGATCCCAATGCTGATAAATGCAGTAATGAATTGGTGAATGCATGCAGGGCTACCGATTAACCGTTAACTTGAGTATAGAGTAAGGTTGGGCGATATGTAAAAATGTTCCAGCCACCATTCGTCAGTCCAACAAATGGCGATGGATGATGTATTCGTGCAAGTGACATTGTGGGCAAAGACAAGCACCCCTTCAGAGCGCATCTTCTGCACCACTGGTGATATTGTTAACCACCTGTGTACACTGTTAAAACTAATAAGGTAAACTTGCTTGTTTTCTTGTCAAAAATGTATGTCTCAGTCAGTAGGAATAGTTTCTTTTGATCCAGTTGTAGTGACTAGGTTATGAGACATTATAGTTTGTTTTTTTTTATTCTTGTTTATCTAAATGAAACTTTTTTTATGGAAAACACACATATTAACTGGAGGAGTGCCTATATTGGCACATGACAATATGCCAATGGAGGAAAAAAGAAGTTAATTTGGACAAAAATATCAGCTGGCCGATACATCATCAATGTCTACCAGATATCATCAATCTGCAAAAAGTTATTAGTTCTGCATGAATATTGACAGGACATGTGACCAAAAAAGGCAAGTCTTTTTAGCTGTTTAGCAGAGTCCTTGCTGGATGCCATGCCTGATGCTACCAAGAATCCAGGTTTCCTGTTTTAAAGTCACCACACCAGGCTGCATGTAGGTCCTAGAGATCTACCTTCCAGCAGATTTTAGATACTTCCCTGCTCGAACAGAGCTGAATCTAATGAGTGGAATACCTCTTCAGTAGACCACCAAGTTTGGAAAAGGCATCGTAACAAGCCATTCATTTGATTCAACTGATATGGAGCATCTGAAACCTGCAGACACATGCTGGCGACCAGGGTTGGAGACTTTTACATTTCAAGAAGAAAGCTTTAGACTGACTTGAACTATGTGAAACGAATAAAGCCAGGATGCACTGATCATGATTGATCTAGTCTGGCTTTATCTCTTATTCCGGTTCCAACAAATACCTGCTTTTCGACAACTGTCGCCATTACAATATTACGAAGAAAAAGATTAACTCGTCACGGTGAACAGCTCCCGCAAGATGGTTAAATGTCGTCTATAGTCACAACCCTGCAAACCCAGCTGTTCTGCTGTTTTTACCTCCGCTTCTGTGTGAAAACTTCACATTTGAAGCTATTCCTCGGGGTCACTCTCAGTGGAATTTTCTGTAAAGTTGGTACGTCGTTTATTTCTTCCGGGCGCATCCGCCTCTACGACGCAAAAGTTCCGGTTAGGACTAGAAATAAAAAAAGGCCCAACGCTTTCTCTCAAGTTTATAAAGGCCCAATTGTTAACACTCTGATAGTAAAAAAACAAAAACACCCCAAAACTGTTAAATGTTATGAAATATAGGATAGTTAAATTACAAATTCATCAACGTTGGAAATTGTCTTACACAAAAACTTATAGACTGTGTATGTTTGTGCTTTCATTGCTTCTCCACTCTCCAATATTGCATTTTTAACAGTAGCTACAACTTACCTGCCTGGTGTTCTGTTTAGCTGTGACACCATGCAATCAGATGGGCCCCTGTTAACCTCTTCAGATTGTATTTCTGTGTTAAGCTGTGTTAAGTGGAGACAGAAAGTGGTGGAACTTTTAGTGACATTAACTGTACCTGCTCCCTTTAGCTAAAAGCTTTCTCACAATGCATCTGCTTAACAGCTTGTTTCCTAGACAAAGCCACTGGCAGCAAGTCTGCCTTTACCCTAACAAGAATGTATTTCTGCATCAATTTTTCTGTGCTATTTCAATGTCTTTTTCCAATTCTACTGGAGGTTTCCGCCTGTTAATAATATTAATAATAATAATAGTAATAATAGTAATAATAAAAGGACGCGATTAATCTCACACTGGAGAAATTCAACTCTGCATTTCACCCATCCCCTTCAGGAGCAGTGGACTGTCATTGTGCAGTGTGGGGTTAAGGGTCTTGCTCAGGGACTCACAGCACTTTATCAGAGCACAAGCGCACTGCTGTAACCACTAGGCCAACACTCCCCAAATGGGAATGGTCATCACCACTGCCATCACATAAATGCTCCATAGTCCATATATATATATATATATATATATATATATATATATATATATATATATATATATATATATATATATATATATATATATACACACAAACCCTGTGCTATAACCCTGTACAATGATCCTACTATAAAAAAAGAAGAAGAAAAAAAGCTGTCATATGTGGACGCACTGTATGAGCTTTTTTTTTTTCCTTTGGCACATTCTTATTCTTTGACTATCTGAGCTGATGTAACGAGTACATTTCTCTACTGTCAGATCAATAAAGGCATTTATTCAATCAATCAATCAATCAATCAATCAATCAATCAATCAATCAAAAAGTAAATGCCTCAATGTAATCTGTTGGGTTTCCTTTGATAAACTTTTTCACTAATCTGTATGATTTGATACAGTTGACTCTGCCATGTCTTAAGATGATGTGAATTGAATTGCTTTTTTTTTGCATTTTGTTCAAATAATATCAATGTTTTATTGAAAGCACTCACACTGAACGTAATTTTTCCCTTTTTCAGATTTAATTTGTAAAACTTGTAGAACAGCAATACAAGAGTACCCAAAATTTGTAAGAAGAAAATAAAGTGAATACAATACAAAGTACATTATGTAACTATAGCATAATTCAGAATAAATTATAAAGAGTTTAACTTGAATGTTAGTGAAATACTGTAGAAGCGAATTGTGTTGCCTCAGGTCATCGTGACCTTAAGCTCACAATAATTGAGAACACAGAGCAAGCAGTCTGGGAGCCACGTACACATTTTGGCAATAACAATGGCAGGAACAATGTGTTCACAAAGGCCCACTCGCACGCAATCCGGTCACAAGCCAAGAACTTCCAGGAAATCTAATCAGAGCGTCCAGTCGTGCACATACATCCACACAGTGCAATGTTGAAACTATATAAACGCCCAGATTTGAAATGGGAGTTGAGAAAAAGCTAGATGTGTTCTGTTGAAATGTTCAGCGCTGTGTTACGTGTACTGAGGACAGCATGTGAATTTGATCTATGAAATAAACGCTTCTTCTCCCGTCCTGGGGCAATCAGATGATCGACTGAAGGTGTCCTGATTTGTTGACCATTGAAAACCACCACATTTTGATGCATTGGCCGGGCTGAGAAAAGAACCCGGGAACAACTTTAGAATCACTGAAGAAAAACTTTATCAGGAGAACGGTGAGTTGCTCCTATTTTAATGACTGATACAAAGCAGATCACTTAAGCTGTTTGGAAGCTGGACACACATTTAAACTGTATCAGACGATTATCTGTTTGCCACTGGATGTTTGCTGCAGCATAAATTGGCATCTTGAGATAAATAGTAGCTGTCGAGATCTGGCTCGGATTTTTTTTTTTTCGGATGATTAATGGTAATCTGCTGGAGCGAGATTGCACCATAACTTTATAGAAATTGGTGGAAACCGGCGGTCACGGATTATAAGTGATGTATCATTATGAATGATGCAACTAATATGTATATCTCATTCTAGTGAGGATTTCTATTTCCTAGAACATGTCGCCGAGTTGCAGTTCGACCGAGCCTGAAAGGCTGTTGTTGTTGAAAAAATAGGCCTGAGTCCAGAGGGACTGTATTGAGATCTCGTATGTTGCTGTTGTTTATCTCCGGAGAAAGAAGCAACAGAGAGCAGTGTGGCTCTGTGTTGATGATGTTAGACCAAAAGTTGTTAAAAAGAGTTAAAAGTGCATGCAAATTAGTTTATATTGGCTGCTTGGGTCTATGAAGTTAAAGAATTATGTGCACAAATAATAATTTGCCATGGCATTTAATGGTATGAATGTCTAAGGAGCTCCGTGTGATTCTGTATTAACGTGTGACTCTGTGTGATTCTGTATGTGTGTTTGAAATCTAAGTGTACACTAAAAACATCTGTTTAAATTCAAACCTCCTTCCAGAATCTGTAATCAGATCTGCTTAATCACTGTAATTTAATCAGACTGAAAACAGTGTAAAGTAAGATCTAGTCCCTACAAAATGTAGAGATGTTTAATAACCTCTCCTAAGTGTCCCAGAGGACATAAGAGGTCAAAATAAAAGGAGGAAATAAAAGTCATTAAATAAGGGAATCAAAACATAAAAAGTGAAAATAATTGCATAAATAAGTCTAAAAACATAAAAGACTAAACAAAAGAAAGAAAGTGATCACTTTATATCTGTAAAAGACGTCTGCTTTCACTTCAATTGTAACTGCGTCACATTTTCTAATAGCTGACCTGCATGAAAAATGGGTGTCCAGTTGCTTGTTCTAACAGAAAAGGCTTAACTGTGCCCAATGTTCAAACATACTTGGCCGAAAAGTCGTTAGTTATTACAAAACATTTTGTTACGTAAACAGTGGATATAAGAGAAGTTTCAAAATTTGTAAGACAACATTTAAAAGCTTCAAAACAAGTTTTTCTAAGCAAAAGCCCCCTCCCTTTTCCTCTCTCCTCCTATGAGCCTGTCTGTGTGTGCGCTGACACACACACACACACGCTGGAAGCTTAAAAATGCCACGACGTTCTGTATCTGTTAAATAGGACTATATATTAATATAAACAAAACTATGTTAGAAGCCGGCATGTGTCTGTCTGTCTGTCTGTCTGTCTGTCTTTATGTTCTTTGTCTGTCTGTCTGTTCTATGTTGTTTGTTCAATGTCAACATGTCTGTCTGGGGTATAAAATATTTGTTCTATTATGGTTCAGTATAAACAGATCAATAGGAGAATTAAACAGCAGATAATTAGATTACAGTTATGTTAAAACATAGATTAATATGACAACAAACATAAAATCCCATGAAGAACTGGATTCTCTCTATGCATCCACGTCCGGACATATGATAAGAAAGGTATGCAGGAAACCTGTTGCTGAAAAAGTCAAATTTCTGCACATTATTACTATTTGGATGCGTTTTGAGTAATTCAGTAATGAGTGGGACCAAAGTCATCAGAAAATACTACAATACAAACAATGACAAAACTTTCGAAAAAGAAAATACAAATAATGTGCACAAGAAATATGATCTGGTCTAGACAATTTCTATTATAAAGTGTTTGGTTTTAGTTATATTTTGTTTATGTTGGTTTGCAAATGCTATCAATGTTGCTGTGATTTTTGGAGTTGAACCTTTAGAGGAGCTGAAATTATTGATTCAAAGTGTTGATCCTCTTTTTCAAATGTTTATAAAAAGTGAAAAACTATGGTCGATTTTATAAGAAATATATTGATTAATATATTTACATCTTACTATGTCTTGAAATTAACATGTTAAAGGTTAGAAAGTCAATTTGTACTGAAGGTGCTGTAAACTCCCCCCCTCCCACCTCCCACCCACCCAGTAAGGTCCAAAAATGGTTCTGGGTTCTGTCCCGAGGCAAACGGAAACGCAACACACACACATTTTCTACACACACACATTATGCCTGACACACACACAGCTGCTTGTTTTCACTGAGAGGGAGAAGGAGGAGCACAGTTTCCAGAGTTTAAGCAGGGGCGATCAAAATAGAATTAGGGCCCGAGGGTTTAGAAGCATTTTTAACTGAAAACAATGTACAGATTGTTACACTAGAATGATATTGTGTACGGCATGTAAAGTGACTGATTTTGCAGCTTATATTTGATTATGATAAACCCCACATGATTAGACAAATCCTTCCTTTGCACATAGATGACAGAATTAGATTACTTCTGAGTTAAGTTGGTCTTACTGTAGCAAAGTGAATAAATGAAGGACTGATTATTAAGAATACTTAAAGGTCAATTTTCAAAAAGAGCAAGTTACATTTATGCTAATGATTTCTTAATGTAATTAACTTTTGATGAAACTTGATAGAAGAAATACAACTCAACAATTATTAGGGGTAAGAGATAAATAAAATGAAGTCCTTTTAACACCTTGAAGCAAAAGCTGGAAAGTGGTTTTGCTATTGGAAAATTATGATTTATAAATTGTTTTTTCATAAAACAATTAACAAGGCAAATTATTTTCCATGAATTTAATTAAACTTAAAACAGTATTGTGGTTGTCTTAAACATGGGGTGTTGTGGAAGACGTGCATTATTATTTACAGAGTAATGAAAAATGGTATGTAGACACAGGAGTTGGATGAGTTTGGCTGAAAGGTTAGGATACGGTGCCCTGAGCCCAGGGGGGCTCGGAGCTGCACGAGAGTCGTCCAGACTTGTGACCAGCTGATTACTAAATGCCGAGGTGAGCCTGGTGAACTGAAGCCGTGCAGCCGAGACCGAATGAGGCGGAGACTGGAGGAATCACGGTCATCTAGCCGAAGCGGCTCGAGCAAAGAACACTGGCAGAACTAGAAAGTGCTGCAGCTGACATGAAAAGCTTGGAGGGAAGTGCTGGCCTTGTGGTTGGGGCATAGAGCTTGGAATCCTAAGGTTGCAAGTTCGAAACCCTTTTCCACAGACTGCCACTCTGGGTCTCTGAGCAAGACCCTTAACCCTGATTGCTCTCTGGTGCCCAACGATGGCAGCCACTGCTGAGATCAATAAAACTTCAATTAATTATTAAGCTCGGCCAAAATAGGAGATGGTTTCTGTCGCTGGTTGCTGGACGTGAAGAAAACACTGCAAAAAGCCAAACACATCAGATACTCAAATTAACACAGCTTTATGGTCAGAGTAAGTGAATTATGGTTTATTTATGTAGAACAGCAGAGATCAGCAAAACATTTACATTTACATGGTGTCTAAAATAATTTCTATTCTGTCTTACAAAACAACCTATAGGTTTTACTGTACTTCTAATTCTAAAGCATCTATTGCAAACTAAATACAATCAAAATTTGTAATCAACGCCTTAGAGCAGTTGTGATTATCTTAATATAAACTTGCATTCCAAACCTTGTCATGATTTTCTTTATAGCAAAACTATTTTGTAACATCATAATGCATTACGTTCTGGTTCAGATACTTTCTAAAACAAACGCTTAACAAAATATGGTCAGCATTTAATATAGAGTGATGTGAAGTTTGCTGAGCACATTATGAGACTTAGAACCAGCATGAGGAAGAATATCTCATATCACATTTAGCAGAGACATTTTAGGACTTAGAGAAAACATGCTGATCAGTTCATGCAATTAGAATTAAGTAACACTGAGATTTAGATAAGTTAATAACATTAGAGTAAGATTTTGTCCTTTCTTTTCTTTTCTTTTTTCTGTTCATCTTAGAAAAGCTTGTTTCCAGCTTTGGGGGACAGAACTCACACTGACATTCTGTGTAAACCTGCTGATGTTTACTTTACAAAGACTGAATTAGTATTGGGAAAACTATAAGCAGTAATTAATAAGCTTCAAAATGTTCAGAATATGTTACTAATTGCCACTATGTAAATCATTACAACGGTTACATCCTGAATCCTATGGGATGCTGTTTGAACCTTATTTTACTTTTAGTTTGTTTTTGGAACAGTTAAGTTGAAAAACCACCAGCTATGATTTGTAAAGATTCAGCCAACAGTGAATCTACAGATGTTATTTCAAATATTAGAAATCAGTTTTCTTCATTATGACTATATTCTCTGTTAAGGTTGATAAACATGATGTATTAATTGATCAAAGGTTTGAATGGGAAAGATCAAACATTTCCAGACCAGTTTTATTTTAAGTACAAAGGCTCAGCCTCCTTAATGTAGGACACAATGTGGACCAGGTTTTAATTGCACATTCTGCATTAACAACGTACTAATTATTCTGCTTTAAGTTTCTCTTCACAGACGCTGCTAAACCTGAAACCTTTTCTGAAGGAAGACTCACGGTTTGTGCCAAATGTCATAGTAAGGTAGGAAAACTATTAATGGATATTACATAGAGCTCAGCTGCTGATACTTTGGAACTGTTCCCAAATTCAGTGATTTAAAACAAACAGTCTATAGTATTAAGAACTAAATCAGAAGATGGAGACACGTGAAAATTAGGTGACTATGTGAGAATAGGTCATGATTCAAATTAATTAAATAGAAACATTTAACAAGAACCTCCTAGTGATTATCTAGGCACAAAGTAGAATGTAAAATTAACATGTTTACCGGTAAACTATATGGAATATAAATATCAGAGAATGCAAAAGAAGCTGCTAAAAGTAAATAAATCAGGAAAACCAAAGTTAAGACTGTCTACAACATAAAATAAAAAATTAAATCAGCAGGAGCCTATGCAGTATTTAAAGACAATGAATTTCCATAAATTAAAGATTCTATGAATCCTTAGATAATGCACTAGATGTACCTCTGAAAAACTTTAAGTAAAACTAAGAAATCAGCATTCAGACTAGTTTCACAATAATAATCCAGGATGTTTATTTAAGTTAGACTTTTTCTCTCCCCCAGCATCAGGACTAGGTGTTTACTCAGTAAGATACAGAAATAGAGAATAATGTTTGAAATGTTTTTGTACAAAATGTTACTTGGATTTTAAATAAAACTCTTACATCCTAAAGGTAAAAAGCAACATGTATTTACTTCAATATATGAGGAAGCTATCCTTTGAGGAAACTAACAAATAACGCTTGAAGCAGAACAAAGAAGCAGATCTGGTTCAAGAAGTGAAGATTTGATTATATTAATAGATGTAAGAGGTTAGTTATGCTTTAGATTACATTAGATGATTCTACATGAAGCGTAGAATGAAAACTGTTTACTTCACTAAAGATTAATATAGAGACATATCAGAATCCTAAATGCAGATGACAAAAGACCTAAAACAGATTATAGGCTAAAACAGACTAAAGACAGTTCTAGCTCAAAGTCAAATAAAGTATGTTAATACTTACTTGAATATCTGTGTGTTTCGAAAGACATTTTTTCTGTCCGCCTCTCTCTTGGTTGTTTCATGGAGAGAGGAAACAGTCACTTCGCATTCCAGTCTGATTAAATAACTTCTGTGCAGTGCTGCACACATTCTTTCCAAGTCCACAGGAAGAAAACAACCTTTTATTTTTTCTAGCTGGCAGAGAACTACAGGAGTGATTAAGGTTAAAGTGGACACACTAACTTGTTTATGAATATCCAAGACGAAACGTACAATCTTAAAAAGGTTACATTCCTGGCTATCTGTATGCCAAATAATATCTGATAAGAGGATGAACAGTCTAATAAGTAAAAATAAAAATGTATCTCTGCAGAGATTGCAAGATCAAGGATTAGTTTAATTTAGAAATCAGACTTTACACAAATAAGTTGAAAAGTTAAACATAATGTCTGTCTCCAATATGTAACGCAGATTGTCACACATGTTCTTAACACATTTCTAACAGTAAAACACTGATAAAAACAGGCTTTACAACTGGAAAAGCACCTTAAGATTTGAATTCAGGAATATTATGTAAGTGTGAGATTATGTGATCCAAGTGTATAAACTGTCCAATAAATCCTAGATCTAGATGTCTTTACAAATGTTGTTATAAAGCACAGAAAGCCAGAATGCAGATTGTATTTAAAAATAATGTAGGATGGCACTCAACTTGCTTCCAGAGGAAAAAGGATTTTTGCTTTTATTCTCATTATTACTATGCTGCTAAAATCTTTAGTACTTCTTACTACTCTTGTGCATGAAAACCCTGGTTAATAAAATTGGAACAGACGGCTAAGATAATAAGAGAAAATATTTTCAGTGTTTACAATTTTTTAGGGCAAAGATCACCAAATTGCCCCCAGATGATGCCTCCACCCCTTGACAAAATGGCTGAGCCTCGGTACGCTATGGAGCCTGAGAAGAACACCTGAGAGCTGAGAGCGGTTTGACTATATTATTTCTTGTATTTTCTTCTACAATCTAATTCCCATGAAAGAGGAACCTGTTTAAGGGTCGCATTGTAAATTGAAATTATTATTTTACTCATGTTTTTTTTCTTTCCTTGTGTCATTAACATATAATTGGGGATTGATGCATTACGAGGAAAAGGACCCAGGAACTCTGTGATGAGAAGGACCTTACAGAGGAATAGAAAAGGTGATGAAGTTCCATTGTATTTATCTCACACTTAGCTGTGTTAACAAGTATTTAAATTACAAGATTCCTGAAATAATTGTGGAGCGATTTGAAGATGTAACACCGATTGCACAGTAGGATTGGACTGCCATTTTCTTTGAGTAAAATTTTCTCCTGTTTTTGTTATCTTAGGAAGGTAAGATGATTGTAATTTATTTCATGTTTCTTTAAACAGGTAAGATGATTCAACAAAAGATAGACTTTTTATTTGTTGTTTTGGCCTGAGGTCCAATCTGAAGTCCTACAATCGTGTTACATGATTTATTTCATTATTATCAGAAAGGTTAATTCTCTGAGATTTAAATTTTACAGTTTATTGGAGGATATTTGGAAATATTAATAATTGCAGATAAGAGAGAAGATACACCAAGAGACAATGGGACTTTACTGCAACAATCAAAAGTTCTCTTAATTTAATTTGAACATTAATTACAGAAACTGGACTCATGAAAAACGGGATGTGTTACATCTCTAGATTTAGTTTCAAGATACTGGTCAGTTTTTTTCTTTCCTCTCAGGGTCACATCTGACAGTGAGATTTAAGGACTCTGGATCAGCATAAGCCATGGACACATGAACGATATGCGAGGCCCAGGGGACCACGACAACCAAGGAGCAGACTGACTGAACTCGAATATTAAGGGAGGTACATCAAAGAGTAATGAAAGGACAAGAGGACCAGCGAACTCTAGCTACACGTCAGAAAATGCAACACCAAGGAGCGACCAGGAGATGGACGACCGACAGGATCAGATGTGATGAAAGCATCACAGGAGGGAATGGGATCCTTCTCCAATTGAATTAGATAAGTCAAACACTACGTACAACAATAGGATTGGAATAATATGAATATTATTGTCTATGATTAGTTGATATTTGCTGATAAGAACACTAATTGTGGTTTTTCTGTCTTACTCATTTTGAGGGGATGGATTGTAAAGACCGGTGACCCCAGGCATAAGACTGCAAACCTTCAACTTCCGCCTGCAAAATACTAAAGGCGGGAACCTGTGATCCTGTGTTTATGCCTTTAAAAGCCAAGGACAGAGCCCTGAAGTGAAAGAACTATATTTTTGATTTTTTCAACAGAAAAGAAGACAACACAATTATTGATTATTCTTGCATTCTGTAAATATAAACCTGATGATTGTAACATGCCATTGCTTTGCATTATAATCTGTATTACTGTCTTATTATTTTACATGGTAAGCTATACATGGGCGGCTGTTTAGAGGACTGGGGACTCAGACTACTGACTGACTGACCTACTTAATTTTCTTTTTCTTTCATTTACCTAGCCTTATATACTACAATACACTATAACTAAGTTCGAGTTATTTGAAATGTTTTGAATAGTTATCCTTCACATATTAAGTAATATCAAGATTGGGTTGAATGGTTCAAACAGTGTTGGTTTCACAGATCATCATGAGTAGCATGGTCAAGATGCGATTTGTGCTACGGCCGACGCCGGAGGAAGGATGGATGTTTGGGGGAAGCATGGGTCGATGGGATAGTTTCCTCTTACATGAGTTTGAAATGAAAGAGTAAGATGCCCACAGGACGAAAAAGGGGTTTTCGATCCCATACTAATCGAATCATGGCCATGTGGAAAATGATGATCTTTCTTTGAAGGTTCAGTAATATTCACTTTGTTTTGTTATTCACTTTAGTTTTGTTATTAATCATGACACTTTAATTTTCATTTAATTTGTTTTTCTCAACTTGCATCCATACTGGGCTGCGTCGGTAACACTTAGATACCGTTTCATTTAAACTTCACATACACGTAAGTGCACTTAGTTGCGTAATATTACCATCACTATGCAAATTCTCATTAGTACTTCATTTTCAATGAACTACAGGAGGGAATGTAGAAGCGAATTGTGTTGCCTCAGGTCATCGTGACCTTAAGCTCACAATAATTGAGAACACAGAGCAAGCAGTCTGGGAGCCACGTACACATTTTGGCAATAACAATGGCAGGAAACAATGTGTTCACAGGCGATAAGCCGAGTACAAGTCTTGAAAAACAAAATCATTAGGCCCACTCGCACGCAATCCGGTCACAAGCCAAGAACTTCCAGGAAATGTTATCAGAGCGTCCAGTCGTGCACATACATCCACACAGTGCAATGTTGAAACTATATAAACGCCCAGATTTGAATGAGGAGTTGAGAAAAAGCTAGATGTGTTCTGTTGAAATGTTCAGCGCTGTGTTACGTGTACTGAGGACAGCATGTGAATTTGATCTATAAAATAAACGCTTCTTCTCCCGTCCTGGGGCAAGCAGATGATCGACTGAAGGTGTCCTGATTTTTTGACCATTGAAAACCACCACAATACAATTTTGGGTGAAGATGTAGCGTTCAAATCCCACAAGGGGGCAGTGACGTGGCTTGATAAAGATGTAATATTTGTGAAATCGCAAACTGAAGAACAAAAAAAAAAACAAAATAAACAACAGCAATGAAATAATAAATACATATAGCCGAAAGTCTGTAAATATCATAGTCCATTAACCTTTAAAATCATAATGGTATTGATAAGTCAGTCATAATAGTTGCAAGTAAACACAACAAAAACCTATAAAGAGCTCTGTCATTTCTGCAGTGTTTTAAGATCATACACTGTAATCAATGAGCTCCTGTTAAAAAACCTATTTTTGCAGTGGTTCAATTAGTGCATACAAGTAATGATCAGCAAGGAGATTAGATCTGGGACAACCATCTGGCCTTATCCCCAGGATATGCTTATACAGCTCCATCACTCTGAAAGAAAAAAACACAAAACATTATTTGGATGTTTTCAGATCTAAACACTTTTTCAAGACCGTGAGAGGCAGATAAAAACAGAATTTGTTGCAATTCCAGCTTGATTTCAGGTAATAATCAGCATCATATGGGGTCAAATCTCATTACAGCTCACTGAATACTGACCCCTCCACAGCAGCCACAGTCTCCACACAGAGCTCCCAGCAGGCCATTTATCACCTGGACCGCACATAGAACGATCTGGATTAATCCCATCGCCAGGATCACAGAGAACAGGGACAGGTGCCAGGTTACCAAATTATCTGGCTTTTCACATTTTGTCCAAATTGTTTTATTTGACAGGTAATTCCTAGAGAGAAAATATGGATTCAGATTACTTATTCAAGCTTCTTTCAGCTGAACACATTTCCATATAGGCCACACATTCTGTTGGAATAGGGGAAAAAATGTAAACACATATAAAATAAATGTAAACATATAAAAATAAAATTAAAAGCTTATTGTTGAATATACAAAGATATTTAACTGTTTGATAGATTATTAATTTTAATCATCTTACCCATTCTCAAATGGGTAAGTTCCTGCTGCGTCGGGGTAAGTGCTGTTTAAACACATTGGTCCTCTGTTGATAGCCACGGCTGAGACTACAACTGAGTAACCTGCGCCCAACACACCAACAGCTGCGAACAGTATAGAGCTTAGCATCTAGATTGAGATAATAGAGAGAAAGTATTCTGATTAAATATATTCAAAAATGCCAGCTATAGATGCTTTAGAAAAAAACAAAAATAAACAATTTTCAACATCCATTTCAGCTAATATAAAAAATATGAACATATTACCGTACATTAAATTAATAGCTTAAACTGCACCAGCGAAACGCAAAATGCATGTCTTTCGATTTGCCTAATAGAGTTTTGTTTGCTCTTCCTCCCATCTACACATTCCTGATCGATCACTTGGCTTGTTTGGCGTGTTCCTCTTTAGGAGCACAATGCTCGCCTTGTGTAATAAACTCATGTGAAACTCCCATCAGGGAGAAAGGTCTGCCACACCGACCAAATCCTTATTAATATGTGTGCTTAATTCTATGTCCTAATCTGTTTTTTTTGCATTTATGACTGTAAATCATCAAATATGTGTACACAGTGCCAGTGTGTTTGTTTTCCATTACAGCCTCAGCCTGATTTGGCTTTACAGTTAACAAATAATATGCAGTAAAATATGTCCTCCCTGCCCTTGAGGATAAGCAGCACTTATCAATGTCTGCTGTGCAATTTTTTTGAAAAAGAAAAAAAAAATGTACCAAGGGTGAGGCACTGATCCAAGCTACAGATGGGATTCTATCAAAATGTGGAGGTATAACAGAGTCTATAAAGACACTAACTGTACACACGCACATTGAGCTAAAAATAAGATAACATTTCTTAAAAAAAATGCATTCGCCCTTGCTTTAGGCAGTTAAATGAGACAATCTGCCTATCAATTAACATTTTGTCCTTAAAATAAGATATGTACTTATTATGGTGTTATGGGTAATCCCTGCTCAAAGAAACGCATTTGAGTGAAAAATCAAACTAAAAAGTCAATAAGTGAAAAACTGTGGCCAACTTTGGTAGCAGCAACTAGAATTTACTTGCAATTTTCAGCCACATTTTACTTTTAAATCCACTGTTTCTATTTCAGTTTGCAACGAATTATTATACACCAATGAAAAAATTAAATATAAATACTTTTGAAGAAAATCAAAGATTGCCTTTTCTAATGCTACTTTAACAAAGCTATGAACGATAGTTTAAAAGAATATTATTTGCCTCAGGTCTTTGATACCCTTCGTTATATTTGCTTTAAAGCCTCTGATGTTGTCGCGCCATTTAGGGCTCCGTATCCAAGGGCAAGGTACAGCAGGGCTATTTGGAAATATTAAGGGACAACTAAAAAAAATCTATATTTGTGAAGGTTTTTGCTTTTTTTTTTAAGCTGATATTTAAATATGAAATCTAATCTGTAAACCTTGAACTGTGATGAAAAATATAGTTATTTTTCAAAATTGCAAATGAGAAGAAAAAAACAGGTTAGAAAAATTTTCTAGATTTTAGTTATAAAAAAGTTAAGAAATTGATACATATTTTAGTTTTTATTTATAGGTACTTAGTTGAAATAAGTTTTAAAGCATCTCCTTTAAGTTTATTTAAACATAGCAAATATCTGTCATAATATATATTACCTATTAACAAGGAAAACATGTTTATTTCATTTTGATTATAAACATGAAGTGTTAGAAACCTCTATATTAAACTATTGGGTTGATCTATAAAAATGAAGATGTTAAACATAAAGCATCTCCTCCCCCGCGAATCTCCGGCCACAGCTTTCGTTTCCACAGCAAAACCCCAGCAGTCGTTTGTTTTTCAAACCCAAAAGACCAGAGCTGGGAAGATCATCTGTCATCCAAAGCCCACCCCAGATTCAATCACACAAACAAAACACAAAACAAAAATGTCCGGTTGAGGATCGGTTAATTTCCGTACAGTGTATAGGTTGTAGCAGCAAACACTTGGGAATATGGAATATTCTACTATTTGGAAAGGGTCAGTCTGAAGAGATGCAAATTATACAAACTGATCAATTTCAACAAGTTTACCACAGTGTTAGAGGCTATTGATTTCAATGTAATATTATGTTAGAAATTTAATTTCAAGCAGAAAATGCAAAAAAAAAAGCATAGGTTTTGAATAACTAATAAATGTTGGACGAATGTTAAAAAATACACAATAATACAGTTACCAGCATATACTAATCTCTAAACAGAAATTGACAGTTTATCATGTAATCTATGAGTTTCCTGAAACTTACCAGCACACCTGATCCAGGATGCCTCCAAAGTACCAAACCTCTTCTGTGATCTGATTATTTTTCACAACTTTTCCACTAGGAAAGAAGAGCAGGATGTTGCACAGCACGCACACTATCGCCAGAGGCATCAGGGTGATGCCCAGACATTTAGCAAAGCTGCCCGAACACATTCTGAAACCGATGCTTCGACCGCCCTTGACAGCAAAAGCAAATCCTGGTATCGAAATATCTGAACTATTTAGTAAGTTGAGTCGTAAATAAGGTCCAAATTTTTGTCCACTTCCAAATAATCTATGATGCCCGTTTGAGAGATTCTCCTAACTACCTATTTTTCAAAAAAAAAAATCTAGATTTACTGAATGATGCTGCCTGCTTCACCTGTTTGTTTTTGTGAAGATTATCAATACGGATTTGACCCTTTATACCCCCCACCCCACCCAACCCTCCCTCTTTAGCGACT